CAGTATGACAAATTTAATGTAATTTTACAATGACTGCATAGGCAGGCTTGATGGTAAAAGCAAATGAGTGTGAATTAGTGAAAAAAATTAATTATACTTTGATGTTCTATCATGTTAAAGAACAGAGAGTTCTTCACTTATCCCATTGCAAAACAAGATTTTAAAAAACACAAAAAACTCTGCTCCTGTTGGTAACAAGTACTTGTGAGTCCTGTGTCTTTAACTGGGTGGACTCCCCATGGAATCTTAAAACACCTCACGACAGGCCTTGTTTTGCTATTGGCAGGCATTTATTTAATGTCTAAACTTTATTTTATTTTATTTGAATCCTGAATTTAGTACCATGTGATAATTTGCATGTGTCTATGAATTACCTATTACAGAACTCACAGTGCCCACTATGTGTAAATTAGGCACATATTTTGCAAGATTATGCATAAAACTTCTCTTCTGGGTATTTTAACTAAGTTATCTTTAGGAGGAAAAAAAGGGTGCTTAGTAGGTTGCTCAGAACATCAAGGGCAAATGTACAGACCAAGCTTATTACTCTCTTATGCTCCACATTACAAATAAAAAATAATGAACATAACAGTGCCAAAAAATCAGATTTAATCCTTATAGAATATTTTTATGTACAGAGAGATCTGTAACATCACTTGATTTAGATTCTAAAAAATAGACTGGTAAAAACACATTTAAAATGATTTTTGTTTCTGTTCAGTGTGCATTCATTTAAAAAATAACTGCTATATGGTAAGCACTCACTCTGTCCCTGGTGCTATCTTAAGTGCTGGCTATTTTATCTAATTCTCATGACCCTAAGGTAGAATGGAGACTTAAAGCATACAGCTCAAATGACACTGGAAACTGCTTCCATGCAGGTTCGAGAAACCAAAAATAATTAAACAGAATAAAATATAATAGAACAGAACAGAATAAAACAGTACAAAAAAATAGCCCAGAACATCACAGACAGGAAAAGTATTATTTTTGATACTTTTGCTTTAAATATACATGTACATATGTATGTGTGAATTAATTCTTGATGTTAAAGTACATTCTCACTCTGGGTTGTGGCATATGTATATATAAAATATTTCACTATGCTGAGATCAAAAGCAATAGCATTTTGATTCTAAAGGGCTGAACATTTTAGCTTAATTTTTAAAAGTTATGTATAGTGATTATCATAGGTTGGAAAATACATGTTGGCCCACAGCTAAATATTCTATCTTGTTTTTTACAATCGTGTTAAAAGGAGAAAAACATTATAAGATTAATCCCCTTCTATCAGATTGATAGAACTCACAGCAACAATAAAATAATGTAAACACAAAATCTCATTTATTTTTTCTAAAACACAAAGGAGCTCACTCTGCACATAAACAATAAGCAAATCATACAAATATTGAGAAAAAATGTCCCCATGAATACAATACATACATATATATTTTTTATTCTTCAGAGCAGCAATCAGGAATTTAACCAGGTAAAGTGGTTTTCGATAAAGAATGCTTCCTGACAGGCTTTTGAGTAGGAAATGGACAGGTGCACTACTGCCACATAACATCTGATACTCGGTCACCTGAACCCCAAGGATGGTGAAAGCCACCTTGGAATTTATATTTAGCTTTATCATCGGCCTGTTCAACTTTTGCATTTCAGTAAATTTGAACCAGAATTAACCCTTCAGTGCTTGATCTCGCACACTCAGGGCTGTGGGAGAAAACGGGAGGAGAGTCTGGGCATGAAAACACGCGTGGGGACCAATGCCAGGGTTTCCTAATAGTGTCCATTCATTTGTGCACCTCTTTCAGCGTCTTTCCTGTGAGTGTTTCTGGCATCATCATCAGCTTTAAAACATGGCAACAATGAAACGATACCCAATTGGCTACAGAAGCATCTGATTCTGCATCTCCTCAGTGTACGGCACAAGGTAGACCTGACCCAACGTGCCTCCCGGCTTGCCTTTAAGGCTTCCCGTATGTCTGGTTGAGGTGAAAAGATTAAAAATAGAAAGAGTTTGGAAAGGAGTGAAGATTCAAAATATGTTGCTGGATCTCAAACCCATTGTTTCCTTTCTGACATCTCAGCTGTAGCTGCCAACAGGGATATTCAAGGGCACAATTCAAACTCAGATACACATAACAGGAGTGTTTCCCCACCACTCTCCTTTCTTAACCGTGCAGAAGTCTCATGGAAGTAAAACAGAAAGTCAATGGGCTTTGGTGCTCACGGTATTAACTTACAAAGACCTCCTCCTGGCATGAACAGGGCTTGTTCTAAGATATTATCTGAGACTCTCAAACTTTTGACGTTGAATCAGAGAAGAAGCTGGGAGAATAGATAAGAGAGCTTGAGTCTCCTTGGCCTCAGCTCACGATGGCTCGGACCACCTCTCATGCCCTCATCCACACTTCACACTCTTTTGAATATTATATTCACCTTAGCTGATTAGCCTGATTTGTGTTCTGGTTGCAAAAATATTTTTAAAATGTGTGACAATCTTACTGGATACATTGTGTCCTGTTAAAGTATATTCCATTAAAAATACCATGAAATCTGAGGCAAAATAGTGCAGGGTGAAGTGAGGGGGCTGATTAGAAGTTTTAATTCTTTCCTGTCAGAGAGCAAAATCTTCAAGCACAAAGTGACAAACAGAAATGGCTTGGAATACTGTCTCCCCACAATTCAGGAAGTCAACTCACATTAGGCAAAGGCCACATTTCAAGGTGCAGAACACCTGGGCCCATGTATGGCGAGTGCCCGAAGTACTGCAAAAAGCATACGCACCATTCAAGAACACGGCACTTGGAGACATGAAGCCCATAAGTTCTAAGTGATGCAGGAAGATCAAAGCACAGGTAAACATTTCAACACATTCTATTTTTACTAGAAAAGATGTTCAGGTCTTAACATACTATCAGGGCTAAATTTAACATTAGACAGAGTGGTCGTATATGGTCATTCTTCCTGCTTCTGACGCTACAGTTATTTATATTTACTGTATATGAATCCTAAATCTAAATGAAAGTGGATTTTCAACTTCAAAATGTATACTGTTAAGGATGGTAAAAGTATAGGCTCTTGCAAAGGGTGGGATCAGCTGCTGCTTGTTAGTGGATCTTGAACATCTCATCCAAATGCTTAAGCCCACTCATGAAGGTTAGACACCAGGTAACCGAGCTCCTTTGCCATGGATTGGGAGATAGAGCAGAAATCACATACTGGCACTTCAGAGAAGTGGGGAGAAGTCTGGTGGGCTTTCTTTGACCTGACTCAGGAATTAGGAATTCTGCAAATACAGCTACTGAGACTAGAAGTTAGATTTACTGAATTACTTATTATCCTAAAAAACTGTTATTAAAAGAAAAAAACTCCAAAATTTGTTCTATCTTTAAGTATAGTTATACACAATCAAATTTAGAAGTGTTTTCACTAGGAAAGAAAACTGGGTAAGTTATTGCTTAATTAGCATGATTATGTGAGAATAAAAATTATAGACAAGAAGGCGAATTTTTTTCTTAGTTCTTATATATGGAATTAGCTACACAGTGTAAAGTTCTCTAATAATGAGTCAAACCTAAGCCCTAGGTATGAGTGTTATGAAATATTAAGAAAATCTACTCCTTTTCCTTGCTAGTTTGGAATTAAATGAGAAATACATAGTCTTTAAATAACATTCATATCAATGCTTCTTAAGGATTTATCATAGTCATAATTTGTTTTTAATTCTAGGTTATGGAAAAGAACACTAATTAGTTAGGAAGCATAAAAATACTCTTTGCTTTGCTTAATCTTCCTAAATATCTGGTACAGATTAAGTCCTATTAATATAAACATTAAGTGGGATGTTTATATATTTTTCATTATACTAAAATTCTAATGCCCTAAAATTATTAGGAATTAAAAAGACAATAGGATAAAATTGAAAAACAGAGTGCTTTCAACATGCAAGGTTTAAAGATTTTTAACAATATTTATTTTTAAAAGATTTGTCTTTTATTTGAAAGTTCTAACAGATTGATCTGAGTATGAAACTGCCAGCGACTACGGCATAGTTTTTGGGGACAGCAGGTCAATCTCAATGAAATGCTTCCTCTAGTGTTGACAGCTCCTGAGTGCCGGACACCTTCCCAATTTATGAAGACTTCAATCTACACAACAGTGGGGTATGGAATTTGTTTCCCTTCTAATAAAACTGAAGCGATAATAGCATCACACAGTTACACATTAAAGTGATTTTAAAGTACACAAGAATACAACTATTTATGCCATGTAGTTGTGTGAATAATATTCCTAAGAGACTTTAAATCTTTGCTACCCAACTCCTGACAAACACTTTGATGCACAGGGCTATATTAAGAAAGCTTGTGGCATTCAATTTCTGACAATTCATCCCCAAAGAAGGCAAAGCACAACAATAGCAAGTCTCTGAAATGCAAATTCCATTAAGTACAAATTTCCAGAACACAAAGTCAATCTAGAAGCACGTTTTAAAACTTAATGAGTTCTCTTTTTCAATTAGTAAGCTCAGGATATAATTTTCAAACAAGCTGAAGTGATTTTCCAATGTCTTTTCGTAGTCTGACTTTTTCTCCCTTGTGAAAATATACTCACTGGTTCATTTTCCATATGCAATTTTCACATTTATTAGCTTAGAATATCTAACCTAAATTGGAATATATTTCTTCTCCACAGTTCCAAACATGAAGTCGATTTTACTTTAATCTCATAATAACAACACCATTAGTAATAACATTCTCTTATGCTTAAGCTTAAAGTAAATCTGAACCGCTCAAAAAGAACTTTTAAACCCTCCTGACCACAGATTTGAGAATTAGTGCAACTTCCTTTGATTTGTCAAGTGAGCACTGTAAGCAAACACAGAAAGATAGTCATCCCAAGAACAAGGTACTATTTTTTGACTTTCTAACCCTGCCTGGGCAGAGGAGGTACAGAACCACGTCGTCCCGGAGACCTCGGAGACGCCCAGGGCCTTAGACTGAGCTTGAAAAGGGCACCACCTGCTTTCCGCCCACATAAACCTCCTCAATGTTTCGGTCATCTCCTGGAAGAAAAAGAAGGGAATCATTTATAAAGTGCTTTTGTGTTAATAACTATTTTCCTTGCCCCGGAGAGAGATTTATAAGCAAAACACACTTCTACGAGAGAAAATACAAAAACTGCCTTTCTTTGTCTCAGGTTGTTTAAAATACCGACAAGGGAGACATGACCAATAGAAGGTGCTGCATCTAATTCGAGGGTTGGGCTCTGAAATCCGTACCTGAGGCAGAAATCACATGTAGTTGAATTGACCCCTATCGCTGTCTGTTCAGCTGAAATGAGTTTGCCTTTCCAGCCCCAAACGTAAAGGCAGTGCTTATAATTACACCCCAAATCACACTCAACACGGTGAGGTGAAGGGCCTGCAAGAACTGAGCTCCACAAGGAAACCAAGCGTCTCTCCATTCTCAGTTCACTCAGGACTCAGAGCTCACTCGACGGAGTGGCAGGCAGAGTCGAATCTTGTACGTGATTTATTTCTCTCCCTCACTGAATATAGTGGCATGGGGTACGTGAAAAACCATGTGAGGCGAGACCCCACCACATCCTTACCACGAATACAACATGGTAGGGCAGCCTGGGGGTCGGGATTGAGTGTAGGAGGAAGAGGCCTGCTGATCTTCCCCTTGGCCTGCCAGCAGTTGAGAATTTATGACTGTATGCTCCATAGGAGCAAATTTCAAATTATGTCTTTAAGTATTGTGTCATAAATGGGCTCTATCCTGAGGAAAGTTTAAAAAAAAAAAAAATCAAAGCAATTGATCACACTTACGGTTTAACATGTGGTATCATAAATGCGGAAAGTCATACCCAAGATAGAGATAGAGAAAGATTTTATTTAGCATAGAGACATATTTTTACCTACCTAGATAGAGAAACTTCTGGATAATAGTCTAAAAGGGAAAATAAAGGTAATAAGAAGAAAAAATTATTTTGTGCACTTAGAAAAGTAAATTCACAGTCAATAGTGCATTAGCAAACCCCAGAAATATAAATTCATTTCTCAATGGTAAAATCTACTTTTATTAATGAAAAAGAAATAGTATTTTGCTGAAAAAAATACTAGTTATTAGTAAATGTTTATCTACTGCCTGAAAGTTCTTGAAATATTTAGAAGAAAAGTTTTACATAAATTAATTTAACAAAATAATGCAAATATTTTAAGAGATCTATAAGAAAAATGACTGGATGAATAGGACTGAGCCCTATTCCCAGAAATCCACTCTAATAAAGAAGTAAAAGAATAAATAATATAAAAATAACAAATAATCAACCAGAAATAATCTAGCATCTTTTTTCTAAAAAAACCTCAATATGTTATATTTACATATTTACTTTCATAGTGGATCATGTTATAAATGGTAATTAATTTTTTTAGAAAAACTCAGTATCTTATAACAAATTGTTATTAAAGTAAGAAGAACTAGTTTGTTTTATACATAGGGAAACATTTCATAATAGGAGGAACAAAGTAATAAAACTCATTTTCTTATAATTGAGAAAATCAGTGTAGCATTGTGGTCAAGAGTACAGACTCTGGAAGTCATAAAGTCCAGGGCTTGAATCCCAACTCTGTCTAATAATTACTAATGACTAACCATCAATCCTTAGGTAAATCACTTAACCTCCCTTACGCCTCATTGCCCCCCAAATTACAATATCAATAGTACCTATCTCTCATAAGAGTTATTTTGATCATTAAACAAAAATTATGTATGAAAGTTCTTAATGCCATGTCACGTAGCACCTAGCAAATGTGTTCAATAAGTGCTAGTTATATTATGGCTTCTTATAGCCCCAAACATTCAATATACAAATATATTCAAAATACAAATATTCTGTTAGTACCATTATTGCTAACATCATTGTCATGAAATTATGCTAACTTTTAAAAATCAAGCTTCCCTTTTAAGACCCTCCTGCATTCCATTAAAATGTTTCCTTCTATTTTGTTTTCTACAAGGAAGCTATTGTAATTGCTTCATGAAACAGATGCATTTTGATTAACTTTTTTTACTTACCTCAGAAATATCACCAACAAAATCCCCATGGAACAGGTCAATGGGAGAATCAGATGCTTTGGGGTTGATCAAGAGGGCATCAAATTCCTTGCCAACTTCAAAGTTTCCAATCTCTCTATCAAGCCCCAGGGCTACAGTGTGAAATAAATTAATAAATAGTCAATATTTTGATCCATCAGACAGTGCCAATGTCCCAGTTTGCAAGGACAGAGTCAACCAACACGTCACTAGGAAAAAAATTAGTATCTTAATAGTGAAGCAGAAAAGCTCTCTCATTCCAATAGCTCCCAAGACTTCAATGTTCAGAAATCAAGGAAAGCAAATCTGAGAATAAAACAGTTCCCTTCATCACATGATCATAATTCTGATGGTGTATCTCTATAGGCGCTCTTCACAGTCCAACTGGTCTATGGTTCATTCATCCCTCCAAGAAACATGACAACTGACAAAATATCTTTCTTTTTTCCTTCCTAGTCTCCCCCACAACACTCCGACTCCTGTCCTTCCCCCTTTTGTTCCATGAAGTAGCTGACAAGAACTATTTTCGTGGCAGTGGAATGAACTTCAAATAAACAAAAAGTAATTATCCTTTTGCACATTTGCCAATGCAGGCATATCCATCATAAGTTCCTTAGTTTAAATCTTTGAAATAGAAAAAATTCACTTCTAAAAGTAAATAGATGCTCATGACTTAAGAGTCACAATCCTTTTCAAAGCAGACCAATTTCTTTGCAACCTCAAAGATTTTCTGGTTGCAAGAGAAGAATTGTTTTCTAAAGTAGTGCATAGGTCAATAATGTCTATTGATTTGTTCTATCTCATAGCTAGAATTCATGTTCCATGTGTATTAGATGCTGAAGGAGAACATCTCTTTCACTGATATGATTTAGTTTCAGAAGGTGCAGGGAGAAAAAAGGAAGATGGGGAGGAGTTGGCTTTCTTGGTCAATGAAAATATTGCATCTTTAACTCAGTAAAGCCTGTGATTTGAGTAAGGTGTACACTGAGATACCAAATGGAAGCATGCATAAAAGGAGGGTCAGTTGGAGTACAGCATTATTTATTTGAACTTTTACATATTTTTTCATATTCTATCACTATCAAGATATGGTCCAATATGAAGATATTGAATGGCATATCCCTGTTAGACAATATTTGATACATTATATTTCTATTCATGGATATCCAGAAGTCTTTTGGCAATGCTCTAATCACTGACTTAAAAATCCTACTTATTCTTAAAAGAGTATTTAAAGGGAAACTCTTTCATTCTCAGAAACAAAAGATTTTTTTAGCTAAAGAATTCTTATAGAAAGACAGGGGTGCGAAAATAATTAGAAATGTTAAAAGCAGTTAGGTAACTTCTGCTAATAGTGTGGAGAAGGACTTGAATGTAATAGAAAAAGCACTGGAAATTCTCTCCTCCTTCACCCATTTGCCCTTGACAAAGAAACATGACAAATATAAGTTTTTAATGACTGTATTCAACATAAAATTATTGTGCATTTAATAGGTCAGATAACCAGGTTCATTTGCCAGACTTTGATAATATATAAACTAATTGAGCTATTTGTTGGAACCGGGAGAGTTCAGGCATGAACTAACCAAAGAAGACACAATTGTTTTTGGTGAATTTGTAAATTGATCTAAATTCAAATTATTGCCGTAAGGCCCAGCTGGGCTGGTAAGCAACTCCAATGCATTTCAGGAAATACAGTTTTGCTGCTTTTGGAGCAAATGTTGGCTCTGTGAAGGTGATTTATGCACATCTTGAATATAAAGGTAGTGGCAAGCCGGGAAGATGCCACACTTTAAATAGGAATTCATTCACCTCATTTCACTCAGACTCTTGTAGAAACACAAGTTAAGGAGAAGAAATTCCAAAACAGTAAGCCCAGCAGCCCAGAAAATGCAACAAGGTTGAAATGATTGGGTAAACATTCTACCCTGGCTTGATCAGACACCTAATCCTGATGAAGCAACTCACAGAGAGCCTAGAATTAAAAAAAAACAAAAAACAGCCCACACTATTTAAATACAACTCATTGCACCTTGAAAATAAGAGGGTTGGCCAACTGCTTGAACTCATATGCACAAACACAGTGGCAGTGGAGGTGGGGAGTGCCATGCTTGTTAAAAGAAGGGTGACTTAAAATATGGAACTTCACATGAATTCCTAAGACTTGGAAATGTGAACGGTGTGACCTCTACTTGTTTTTCTTGAAAGGTTCTTTATCATAGCCCAGAACATTCAAAGAAGAGTCAGGAAGCTTCTCTTCCCGGGGTATTCTTGGTTTTCATTATGCTCTATTTTTAAGACCCAGATTAGATATATATAAGTCTACCTATATATCTGTATCAGTCTCTATATCTATATTTTTATTTCTCACTAGCTACCTAAGGTTTCATGCTATGTTCACTATCATCCATCTAGAGTACACCATTATACTAAAGTGACTGAAAGCTAGCAATTATCAATTTCTATTTTTTCCCATAAAAAATACCGTTACATATGAGAACTAGGAAAAGCTGGTGAACAATATTTGCATATCAACCCACTATATTTTGACATTTCTCTCCACTTAAAGAGACTTGGGTAATTACTATACTTAATTACATAAACAAAATGCATACTCCAAGCTGGGATTTACACAGGAAGGTATCACAGTGAAAAGGTGAGAACCTCACTCTGACATCCTGTTTTGGATTCAAATCATGGCACTCTATAGCTTAACGGCTGTGTTAGCTTCCACCAGGTACCTTGATAAAATAGAACTAACAACAGTGGTTGAGAGGTAAATAACAACATACATAAAGCACGTTGCATAGTGTCTGTCACGTGGTAAGAGCTCTTGGCTATTATTTTTACTACTATTTCATGAATATTGGACACCTGCTAATGCCACTATCATCTACCTTCATAGTGCACCCAAGGACACAGGCTGGCATGGTTGTACATTGTTAGAGAGAAAAAAATGGTGATTACCTTGGCTGCCTCCAAGAGTAGCTAGTCTGAATACCTCTTTGAGGGTGAGGCTTTTCTCATTTATCGAAAGAACGTTGGAAACCATCATTGCGCTTCTGATTGCATTGAACATGGAACATGAATAACCGCCAGCCACGTCTATGGTAGAAGAAACCAAGACAGTAAACTTATGAGATAAATGGAATATTAAGTATATAAGGTTGGATTTTGAAATTCCGTTTTTCAATTATAGTTTACATTCAATGTTATTTTGCATTGGTTTCAGGTGTACAGCATAGTTGTTAGTCAATCATATACTTTACAAAGTGATCCCCCCGATATTTCAATACCACTTAACATCATACATAATGATCACAATATCAGTGACTATATTCCCTATGCTGCACTTTAGAGACTTGTGACTATTTTGGGGGTTTTTTTTGGTGTTTTTTTTAAATTTTTTTAAAAAAATATATCTTTATTGATTTTAGAGAGAGGGAAGGAGAGGGAGAGAGAGAGAGATAGAAACATCAATGATGAGAGAGTCATTGATCAAGCCCGCAACCCGGGCATGTGCCCTGACCAGGAATCGAACCCCGACCGCCTCGATGCTCAACCCCTGAGCCACGCCCGGCCGGGTTTGTGACTATTTTGTAACTACCAATTTGTACTTCTTAATAGGTTGGGTTTTTTATTTGTTTGTTTTTAGTGACAGATATTCAGTCTTTAATATACTTCAAATAAAAGATCTTATCTATGAACAGAGAATAGACACAAGTGAGAGTCATTGATCGGCTGCGGGCATGTGCCCTGACTGGGAATCGAGCGAGAGAGGAAGGAGGGAATCGAGAACAGCGTGGTTCCACCGAATCCAATATAGCACTGTGGGCAGAGGAGAGAGCAGTCACCTATGGCAAATACTGCGAGGAGTCCAGCGTAATAAGTACAGAATGTCCTTTGCAGCTGACAGCAAGACAGCACAGGGGCAGCAGCCCAAGGGAGGAAGGACAAGGATCATTACCATGGGGGGGGGGAGCCAGCCTGAAGTGGGTGGGGGACCGCAAGAGTGCTCAGAAAATGGTAGCCATGTGGGTCCCCACTTTTTGAAGAAGTTTTGTGTTGTAGGGGAGTAGAGAGGCGGAGCAGGAGCCAGAGGGGAGTGTCTGATTAAAAGAGAGGTGTGTTGTTGTTTTTAAATTTCATTGCTTAGAAGATCAGAATATGCTAAAGAATATTTTTGTGATGATAGAAATGATTCAGTAGGGAGGAGATAAGGATGATGCAAAAGAGTTAGTGGCAAAAGGAGTTAATTTATTGAGATACTTGGAGAGGGAGAGAATACAAAACATGCCTCAGGGATTTTAGGTTTTGCCTGAAATAGGAGGGGGGACTTTGGGGAAGGGGGTAGGTTATTATGAGTAAAGCTGGTATAAACATTCTTATTCAACTCTTTTTGCAAATATATGTGTTTATGTCTGTCTCTAGAGTAAATTCCAAAATGGAATTACTGGGTCATATGTAGATTTATATTTAACTCAATAGGAAACTGCCAAAGAGTTCTCCAAAGTGGTTGTGCATTTACCCTCCCTTCAGTTGTGTATGAGAGTCTACATGCTTCTTATTCTTTTTTATTTTTCAGTTTTCTTCTTTCATTTTAAAAATTTCCGTTTCCATCACAACCTGTGGGCTTTTCATAGTGCCATGTGTTCTTGTACTCTGAGGAGGATGGTAATTTTCTGAAAATTTCTCCTGGATCCTGAAGTAAATCATTTGCAAAAATATGCTCACCCTTTTATTTATTTTTTTGATACTGCTGTTTCTTGTTTTGCCATATTTTCATTAAGCTTCGAGTTCCTCTAATATTTGAAGAAGTCCAGACCTGCCTACACTTGATATAGATACAGTGAATGACCTGCCCTTACAACTGTTCTCTGTCCATAATATCAGGCTAAATAATCTTCTAAAGCCTACAAGTGAAGGGCAAGTTCATACACAAAGGTCATGTTTAGGAAATAGTGGAGCATAGGGTGGCTACCACAGCAGAGACTATGTAAAATGCATTCTCCAACTTAATAAGCAAATACATCATATTTAATCAAATATTTGGTCAATGTACCAACACTGCTCTTTCCCTTTTAAGCCAATTGGTGTTGACTAGTACAAATGTGTCAGATTTTTTTTCCCATTTAATCCTGAAAACAAGTTTGTAAGATAGATATTGTCATGGTTGTTGTTCTTACTGTTATAGAAATTAAGAAATAAATTCCTAGAAAATTAATTTGTTCAATGTCTTACAGCTAATAAGTGACAGAACTTTACGTAATTGTTTCAGGCCACTGCCACACAATCCAAAGTCAAGAACTGGAAGTCACGTGATGTATTTAAATCATAGAAACCGAACTTCCAGAAAATTTTAAAGCAATACCAACTTTTTTTTTTTTAATATATCTTTATTGATTTCAGAGAGAGGAAGGAGAGAGTGGGAGAGAGAGAGAGAGAGAGAGATAGAAGCATCAATGATGAGAGAGTCATTGATCGGCTGCCTCCTGCAAGCCCCCCACCAGGGATCGAGCCCGCAACCGGGGCATGTGCCCTGACCAGGAATGGAACCATGATCTTCTGGATCCTAGGTCGATGCCCAACCACTGAGCAACATCGGCCAGACTCTACCTTGTTTTGCATGTCTGCTAAATTTTTCATTAATTGACTATACTGTGTAACAAAAACTCTTGGCCTTTTTTCCCTTATCCATTAAAGCTTTTCTGTTGAGGTAAAATAGTTGATTTCCTGCTTTAGCACCTGCAACTATATTCAGGTATTACACAACCTCAATGACTCAAGGCTTAAATTAGAATTTTTTAAAAAATCTAATTTCTTTGATTCATGTAAAATTGGGGAAAACTTCTACATTAGCATACCTATTTTAAAATATTGATAAATCTCTGTATTACTGTGTGTCTTACCAAGGAGTCGCTTGGTACAAAGTTAACTGAGACTCGAGTTATTCCAGAAACTGATGGCAATCATCACTGTCAACATGCAAACATCCCGATGCTCTTAAATATCAGGAGGACAAATGCATAAGAATGGAAAGTAAGTCCTTGTGCCACACACGCACTTTTAAGAACGTTTTAGTTTATTCACACACAATAGTAAAAGCAGGTTCACAGTGGATATGCTAGACACTTGGGCTTGACTCACACTTTCAAAGTGAGTAGCACTGCACACCTCGGGGAAAATCATTAAAATGAACTGTGAAAAAAAAGAGAGGCATCCTTAATTTACAAGCCACTGAGAATGTCCTTCAGCCTAGCAAACATCACGCTGCCCGTGGGAATGGAATCTCACTTTGCTAACCACTGCTTAAAAGCAAAGCAAGTCTTTTACATAACATAACTCGGAGTTCTCAGCGCTGGCACACGCTGATTTTGTGCTTACTATGGCAAGGCCAAGTAATTTCCTTTTGAGTCGGTGTTTGTGATGGCACACTAATTGAAAACAAGAAACACACAAATCCAAACTATTAAAGCCTAGCCAGAGGGACAAAACAAAAGAGAAAAAAAATCAAGGACTTTTTTAAAAGAATCTCGAAAACACTAGAGAAGGGCTTATCTTTTATAGCCGCTGAACAGTAAATACAGATAATAGCTTTCAGAAGGTGAGTGACATCAAACGTCTTCTTTTGTGTACATCGTCTTACTACTTCCAACCCTACTATTTTATTAACTCAATGTATTATTACCAGAAAATAAAACTAATTTTTTTAAACATGGAAATGCAACCTGAACATTAATCGCCTTAGAAAGTTATGCACTTAATCAACCACTTTGCCATGGCCCCAAATGGCGCACTACTGACCTGTACCCAGCCCTACTTTCACTTCATGTTTCAGCACGTCTAGCACATTGAGAAGGCCGCTCCTGAGCCTGTGGAGAGAGGAGATTGTCAGAACAAGGGGGCCTGTGTGGGCCCAACAGGAGAAAGACACTAACGATAGTGATGGCGCTGGCGATGGCGCTGAAAATGACATTCTCCATCACATCAGTCTAATGCTGACACACACAGTTGTCACATCACAACATCTGAGTCCTAGAGTAAAAATAGATCATGCAAGAGCTTGAATCCTTGCACTGAGGTTAATTCCAGGAGGAAACAAAGAGGCAAGAACAAAAACAGGAAGTAGGGGATCATTTGCAAGGAAAAATAAACTAAAGCTTGCAGTTAGTCCAAAAGTCCTACCGGTCTTTAATATATTTTAACCAACCCATCCTCCTATATTAGGAAGTAGAAATTATAAAGGATTGCCTTTCTCTCCGTCTGGAATAATTTGTTACCCTGAATGAGTAGCAACTATCAAGATCAAAGGAACAGGGGGTGTAACTGGAAAAGGGGTACATTCCGATGAGTCTGGGCCTGTCGGTTCAAGTGCAGCCACTGGGGACAGCAGAAACTAGGAGAGATGGTTCCTGCACTGAATCCTGGTCCTTGTGACTCTGAGCTTAATAGATAAGCCGCTTTTCTAAAGAAACGAAGGAAACCAAAAGCAATCCTTAGAAGTCCGAGAAGATGCAAAGGTCAAAGTGGTCGGCTCAAAGATGCACGTGACTATAATTTTCGAAGCCCCAACGTACATGCAATAAATCTCTCAGTTGTTGAGGAAGAGCAGTTGCCATTTAAACAGAAATATATCCATAAAGAAATTTAACTTCAAACCTAAATTTCAATCATGCTTTAATTTAGATGTGTAACTAACGGAAGGGATGTTAAACCCTTCCCCGATCTGGCCACTAGACCATAATCATGGTCACTAAGCTGTACCTAGGCAGGATTCCCTGTCATGTGTTACCACTCAATGTCTCAAAACTAGAAGTCTTTGGAACCTGTCAGACACTCCAGAAATAAATCACTGTGCCTCTTGTGCCTTCCCACATTGCCAGTGATGTATCATTTTTTCTTTCACAAAGTCCCTCGGCTTTTAACTGCCGGCACCTCCAACTCTTTGCCAAGGGCACTCTTGAGCTGATAGAACCTGCTCTGCCCTGGTTTGGGGAAGGTCAGAAGCTCCAGGGACTCAATGGCTCTTCACCCCACCCAGTGGTCCCCCAACAATGTTGTTTGGGGTATAACTACCCCAGCTCCCCCACCCCTTGGGCAGAATGACTTGGAGGTCTGCTATGGACACTGGCTCCCTGGGATTTCCAGAACAATTAAACTCCAGGAGCCCATGCTGATAACTTGGTTAATGGTGCACTCTTTACTGACTTCCTTCCCTTCTCTGTCTTACCCCACTAAAGGTGTTTTCTGAGATTGCATCCCTAATAAACTACTCGTACATGAGTCCTCGTCTCATGATCTGCTTCTGCAAGAACTCAAAACAAGAGAACACAAAGTAACTCGAGAGAAAACTAAAATCTAGCAGAAGCTAAATACATTTATCGAATGAGTATATGAATGACCCACCCCAGCCTGCTCCTAAGAGGAAGCAGCTCTGTTCTGGGTTGAATAACATCAGAAAGGAGAGCTCCTTTCTCTGTCTAACCCTGGGCCATGAATTCTTAACCTAGCATCCATGGATCAGCATCACGGGATCCATGAATTCCCCAAAATTAGGTGCAGCGTGTTTATATCTCTGGGCGTTTTTCTGAAGATACAGGCCAAAATGCTCATGTGACTCACTTGTGGATCCATAACCTTTCAAAATGTTAAGAACCAGTTATGAATAAAGCTTTTGCATTCTGGCGAACTAGAATAGGGCAAGGTCCCTCCCATGTGAACTGGCATCCTGTTGGATCCAGCAGGTGACATGTACCGTACGTAGAGCGATGGCTTCCAGTAGCACTGCATTCTACTAGTTTGAGTGTTTCTAGCAGTTGGCACAACACAAAGTAATGGGCAATCAGAACCCTCTCCCTGGAACACCTGGCTGGTATGTCCGTGCTCTAAGTTCTGAATGCTATTGGCTTTGAACTCTTTCTGTTGTATTTCCAATTTTCTGTTTTGTGCAAACTCAGAAATTTTAAGAGATGTGGTGCTCTTCAAATGCATACTATGCAGGAAGAAAAAAAAAAGGCCTGTTAAGTGCTCTCTTTCTCCCCATGAGAGCAAAGATACCTGTCTGTCTATCTAGCTTCTGTCCCAATCAAATCTAACTATAGAAGAGAGATTCAGGAGGAATGACTAAGAAAACATTTTGCAACCCAAACGTTTATAATCTATCAGTCATTGCCTACTTACGTTAAGTTAGAAGTGGGACAATGTGCGATCGATGCTCCTCGTTCCCTGAATACATCCAGTTCTTCTGCAGAAAGGTAGCAGCCATGGGCCATCACTGTCTGGAGAGAAGAGTGTCCTGTGTGGAGTTTACCACTTAACAATGCTTAAGTCAGTCCTTACTCACAACAAGACATAATAGGTACAGACAGAAGCTGTGGCATCTGTCCCTGTTCGTATGTACATGAAGATGTCTGTTAGCATCTTCACAAGAACATTTATGTCCACCTATCTATATAAAATCACTCAGTATAAGTCACATCTCAAAAGAGCCTGTAAAAACATTGGATTACAAAAGTTTCAGCACATTTGTAGATCTTCTCATTTTCTTTTTTAAATCTATAAAATAAGGAGGGTTGATCCAGGTCATCTACAGCCTAGGACATCCACCCAGTTTGAAGATATTATGATTCCTTCACCTCCACGTTAGAAAATAACCGAGTTACTTTCTTTTCTAAATCTAGTGGGCATCTGGTGGGGCTGTGCTTGTTCCTATTCTAATTAGAACTTTCTGGAAGTAAGCTTTCCTTTCTCAGTACATGGGAGCTATGGGAGTGATCCTTGGGAAGAGTTGCTCTTTATTTCTGCTCCCAGTTAGATATAGGCACCAATGGTCTTGACACAAAACCAAACACACTTTATTTCATCACCTATATTTACATTTTCATAAAAATTAGGAAATGTAATATCTTATAAGCATAAGTTCAGAAGGTAAAATTGATCCAAGAAGGCCGGCACTGCATAAAATTCTCTTAATTTTAAGTCTTGGTAATATTTGTGGATTTTCCTGAATAAGACTTTACCCTTTCAAAATTCTTTTTCCCTCAGTACAGAACCTGTACCTGAATAGCTTTCTCCCTTGGGATGCATGGTTCAGAATTTTTGTTAAAATATAATTTTCCTAACTTCTGTGCAAATCAAATTAACATGCAAATTGAAGGTTAATTTATTAATCATAGGGATATATATGTAGTGAAGGATGAAGATTAAGGCATCGCATTTATAAGCTTTATGCAGAATATTAACCTTTCAAATTAGTCATATTCACATCTCCATTCACAAAGTCCTTAAGAATTTATTTGTTGCTGCAGTTAAACTCTCCATGCAGTTTGCACAGTTCATTGAAGGCCAAAGTCAAGGGGTATACTGTTCTAATGAGGTCTCTCCTCACTCATATTAATTTTAATTAACTTGAAACTATTTAATTATAAAATACACACTCATAAAAGCAACCTCAGAGTGTTTAAAAATAAAAAAGTAAAAAGCCCTTCTACTTTCTCCCCCACCTTTAACATTCAAGGTGTGTCTTCCATGCAATTTTTCTAGGTAGGCATGCACCCACACATATGTATATGTACATCAGACAATATTATAAGCCTGTACGTCTCATTCTTTGTGAGTGTTGGATAAAGTCCTAATTATGTATATTCTATAATCTTAACAACCCTCCCCATGAGAGCCATTTTTTAACTTTCACATGTTAACATTCCTATTCATATTCCTTACAGAATGGACCCTTAGAAATGATCTGCTAACTCCAAGGAGTGTACATTTACGTTCCAATAAATACTGACAAAATGTCCTTGGACCAAATGACATTCCCACCCTCCATGAAGCCTTCAGATTTATTTACTGGGATGAGAGTTCAAGCCTATTTTTAACTATGTGCACACATACACATGCACACTCTGAGCTTTACTCTAGTCTGGAAAATGCCCACGTCATGGAAGTCTGAAGAGCACTATGAGATTTTAAAATTTAGATATATATGCCCTATTTGACACGATTATGTGATGATATGCAATTTACCTTATTTGTCAGAAGATTGTTTTTATCATACACATCTGTATAGTTTTTATAACTGGGGTATAAGGTTTTCACAGCTTCAGTTTCATCACGATTTTCACTTATATGGCTCTAAAAGAAAAAAAATAATACTTTCAACTTTTCAATGTAAAATGCCATTAGAAATTATGTTTCCTATCCCAAAATTATATGGATGGTTTCTACTTGCCTAGGTCAGGGACCACATAGAAAGACAATGAAGACTGTACATGTGTTTTATTTAAAACAATCATATGACAAAGAAACTATGAATGTTCTAACCCATGTAAAGTTCTTCCAACAAAGGCTTTTCAAATTCCAAAGTATAGCAAGAACAAACAAAAATAAATAGTATACCTTGAAGAGTGTTAAGAGCCTCGCTATTTGTGGCCACCTACCTCTTCTGCTGTTGGCCGTTTAAGAAAAGAGTTCAGTGGCCATTAATAAGACAGACAGCATGGCTCACTCATAAGAAAACTGGGTTTGAATAAAGAGAATTGGATTTTAACCCAAGTTCTGACCCTAGTTATGTGTTTTAGGGTGAGTCAGTTTTTTTTCTTTGGGCCTCCATTCCCTCATCTCTCAAATAAAAGGGTTGGGCTAGATAAGTAATTTTCTAAATTCTTTTAGTTTTGGACATGTTATTCTGATAAAAATTCATAGAAATCCAGTATGTAAAAGGAATAAAACCAGTTGTCTCTAATGATGAAGCAGTATTGGGATTCTGGAACCCTGTCTCCATTCTGTCCCCTTTTTGGCTTCCAGAATGAGTTCTTCTGCAGAAAACAATTTGAAAAATAACTGAGTTAGACAATCCTGCAGTCACCAAGAAAGAGCCCATAATGCAAGCAAAACAGGTGAGTGTCCTTTCCCACACCAACCTTTCTCCAGGCCACCACAAAACCTGAGAGCATGTGAAGTGTCTTTGAGACACAACACTTAAGTGGAACCACACCTACCTCTAGCCTAAAACAAAAATCATTTCAGACCAGCTGGTGGTGAATATATGTTATGGGAAACAACTCATGAACAAGTTACCACTTCTAAGAAGAGCAATGCCATTTCCCTCTCTCCATGAGGTAGAGTATGCATAGCCACATAAATAACAGAAAAAAACAGCAATATTATAAAAACGGTGTTCTACCTATGGGGTGAACACTATACCTGGCCTTTAGGAAAGCCCAGACCACTGAAGAAATGCCTGGGCATAAGAGTAGGAGAAAGGATAACCAAATGATTTGTGTCATTTTGATAAATTTGAGTAAATGCACATACATACAGGTACTCCTGCCCCCCAGCAAGGATATATTTCCTTTTGTTGTGTGTTGATGGGGTTCAGGACACATTGCCCCATAATATGGCATCTTGGTTTGTTAAAAAATGCCATGTTAAGCTGAAGGAGTCTGAGAAGGGCAGAAGCAGGAAGGTCACGCTGATGGCCCCCAATCCTTCTTTCCCTGAAATAGGTTAAAAAACCCACAGGGGACAGGCGCCTCCCCACACCCAGAGGAAAAGAGCACCCTTATCTCTGAAGACAAAGGGAGCCAAGAAAAAGCTGAACAAACAGGCCTTGCTAAGTTTCCTAGCCTTACCTCACAACCCTTAACCTAAGCTATTCCCCCACAACCGTGCATTCTTCATCACACCTAGCAAAAAATCTTTAGGTCGCACTGTTTCTCCGTAGTTTCACTTCCTGTGAAGGTCCCTGAGTCATGTAAAACTTACATTAAATACATTTGCATGCTTTTCCCCCGTTACTCTATCTTTGTCAGTTTAGTTCTCAAACCCAGACAGGGACCCTAAGAAGGTGGAGGAAAACTTTTTCCTGCCCTACAACTGTGTGGGATTGAGTCAAAACTTCAAATATCACAGGCTGTAAAACAAAAAGCAAACAAACAAACAAACAACAGCAACAAAGAGAGACTTGGGAAAGATGAGAATAGTTAATGTGACCTATCAAGATAAATCTTTAAAAAATACAAACTACCTTCTACCCCACAAGTGAAAGAATCAGTGTGTTGCCTTTCCCCTGACTTTCCCTTTGTTATAAGATAGTCAATTCTTAAGAGGAGGAATTTTAGTGCTGTATGTAATGAAGCTTGGATGGAGGAAGGCAAGCTCCCAACTTCCAATTTTAACCCAGCTGGAAGCTTTAAAAAGTGTTTTATTCCTAAATTGCAACTGCTTAATGACAAAGTAAAATATACTTTTTTTTTGTTCCTGATTTTAAATTAAGAAACTTGGAACAAAAGGGCTTTTAAATGCATTTTGTAAGGTGGAAATTCGGTTCTTATTGTTTTATTGTTTTTTAAATAATAGGTGGTTCCTTCAAAGATAAAGGACTCGAACATCGAGAAAGCATCAAATGAAAGTGTAGAAAAGACATGCGTTAAATGTATCCTACAGACAGCAGGTACCCAGTCTGTCATAGATCTCGCTGGGTTATTTGTGATGGCCTCATCTCTGTAGGCCTGATCAGGGATGATTGAGAGGAAAAGGAACTTCCATTTTCTTAGCTGAAAAAATTAAAGAACTGGATTTAGCTGAGGTCTGAAAGGGCCCTCCCTGTCCCATGATGCCACATCTCTAGGAGATCTCAGGAGAAGAACTGAAGATTACTGCCAGAAAGCAAGATGATCTGGGCAGAGGTCTGGGCAGAGGCATGAACAGGAGAAAAATACCCACCTGAATGTGCAAATCATGGGTCTTCGCGATGTTTCCAAGTTCGCTCATCAACTGCTCAGTGCAGGAAAGGGAGAAACGTGGTGTCACTATGGGCTTCACTCTAGGATACTGGAAATAATAAAAAATAGTTGATAAGGAAACTGGATATTATGAATGCATAGTATATCCCAAAGTGCATATCATAAGAGATGATTTTATGTCTTGATATTTAGGGACAGTCCCCCTTTCTGAGAGTGGGTGGAAGTCCTGGGTTTCATGGGAACAACTCATGGCTGAAGAAAAAGAAGAGTATATTCTGTAGCTCCAAGGTCAATGGAAGAAGGTCTCATCCCGAATTATGGCCACCCCTGGCTCCACATCACAGGAGGGCTCCATGGAGGCCTACACTGGTGGCCTTTGTGAAGAGACTTGAGAGGCAGAAGGAGAACTTCCAAAGGAGAGATCTGGGGAGACTAGAGGGAGGCAGTGGCCTATTTCCCTTCCTGCATCTTAGGGAGGTGTGTTGGTCATGGCACCCCCGAAGGCTGTTTAGTTGCAGAACTGGCTCTGCTGTCACCTGAGGTGAGGGTCTGAGCAGGAAAGAAGACTTCAGAGAGGGATGGTGAAAATAAGGATCCACAATACTCCACCTAAGTCTCCCAAGGTCAGGTTGAAAGAAATTCTGAGGTTCCCTATGGTTTCCAATCAGACCTCAAAGGATGCTAAGGGAAGGTACCAGGGAACCATGAACCAGCCTGCTGGGGGTGGGGACAGGAAACAGCACTACTTCCATAGGCTCACCAACCCCAGGGCCACAAAGGGAGGTGCCTGGCCGAGTGCCCGCAGGCCATGTGACATGCCACATGTATGTATACGGACCAAGGCGGCCTGGGACAGGGGCAGCAGGGCTGGGTACCACCTGCGTTTCAGATCAGGTCAAGGGGTACAACAGGCCAGAGACAATATCAACAGAGCCCACAAACACCACGCCTCAATTTCTAGTTGCCACCAATCCATCCGCAGCCATGAAGCCCTCCCCCACCTCCCCAGAGACCAATCCTGTGAAATTAGAGAGGAAGAGGAGGGAGAGGAAGAAAAGAGAGAGAAAGAGAAAGAGGAGAGGAAGAGAAAACCGCCAGGAAAGCAAAAACGGCCTGAGCTCACTGAGCCGAGCTGACAGGCCCGCTGTGGAAACAACCTGCGGCTCTAGGGAAGCGCTTCTGCGGGCCTGGGAAGGAGCCAGAGGCCCGCATCTTTCTCTGCCAAGCGACCTAATCACAAATCCTACGACTAAGACACAGGCAATCCCGAAACAAGCTGGCGACACGTTTACTTACGTTCTTTTGGAGCATTTCTGACACGAATCTGAAATAAGGCAACAAATGGGAAGTTAGAAAATGTAAGCATTTTCAAAAAAATTTGTTTCAAAGGATGAAAACATGATCTTTCCAAGTCCTGTTTTCCACGCAAACATTTCTAACACTGCGTATGTTTCACCACCACTAATTAAAGATTAACAAGTAGTAATTACTGCGCCTTCTCATTTGCAGAGATGGAGTGCAAAATCACCGGGAAATGCCATCTTGCCATGTGACATGAGCTGGGCCGCTCATGAGCATTCCCGCAGCACTCAGGCCGCCCCGCCAGCCTGGGCTGGGCTGGGGGAATGTCGCCATGTGCGATGCTCCGGGGATGTTAGAGTTCCCGAATCCTATGCACCCGGAGGCATTTAGAAGCCATGGGGCTCTCTACTCCTGATTTCCCCAAAGTGGAAGCTACTTGCTCACACAATATCATCCTTTATTTCCAAAGGCAGAGTCCTACTCCTCCTGGATTTGGAGTAAGGCAGAAGATGAAGGCCAGAGCTGGTTGTGAAACGGATGGGGAGGGGGGTGGTGATCTTACCAATTATATCTCCAGGGATGGTGATACATGCATGGCCTATGAAATGGCTAATTTTGCCCTGACTGGGAATATGTACTAGCTACACTTTCCTATCCTCTGGTATTCCTTTTTCCTTTGTTTCAGAATAAAATGTGAATTAAGGCTCACTATGACCACAAACACACATTCATGGAAAAGTTGAGCTGATGGCCAATGCTAAGGGGAGGTGCACGCTTCCTTTTCCCTGGGAGCAGGGAGCAGCCAGTGAGCTTCCTTTTCAGAAGACACACTTAAATGAAGGAGGCCTGGGGCATCCAGAGAAGCTGGGCTTCTGAAATTTGCACTGGGATACATTTGGTCTTGAGGAAGACTTAAATGGGAAGAAATTTCTTCTATGTATATCTCTTGGGTATTGAGTGTCATGCAACACAATTCCTTGTCAAATCCTCAAGGCACTATGAAAAAGCCATTAAAGAAATGTAAAAAAAGTAGTTATAGGATCAGTAGAACATCTCAATGTAAGATAAAAAGTTCAAACCCGTGTTGTTCAAGGGTCAACTGTAACTTATGAGCAGTTCTGTAAGTAGTAAATATCCATCTATCACTTAAAGCAAGTCCAATTTACAGGAGAAGATCAGATCTACATTAAAGGAGAGGGAGAGGGTAAACCATTTACTTCCAAAAAGAAGCCCTCATTTTACAATGGGGTTTACCCTAGGACTCCTATCACAAGTTCCCAGAAGCTTTAAAATATAGTTTGATATACAAAAGTAGTATTGACATGCAATGATTCTTAGGACCAGATCAACTTCATAAAGTTAGGCAAAACCACACTGTAACGTATGTGCATATCCTGCCTGGGTCAGTGCCGTCTCCAACTCTATCAGTGCAGCAGAGGGACCGCCCACGAAACAAATCAGGACAAACATACCTCTCTGTCTCCTTGATTGATTCCTCAGTGGTCTCCTTGTATTCCGGAACAGTGTCATTCATATCCATGCAGACTTTGCCCACAAATGCCCGCTGCCCAAATTTATCTGTGAGGTACACAAAAAAAGAATCTGAAATTATGTGTCTTTCACACAGAGTAGCTTTTCTGAGCCTTTAAAAAATATGTTTAAATTCAAATCATTACAAAAACACAGGTGAGAATGTGAAAGATTATCCCTTAAGAAGAATAACAACAGCCCAGCCGGTGTGGCTCAGTGGTTGAGCGTCAACCAAGAGGTCACTGGTTCGATTACTGGTCAGGGCACATGCTCGGGTTGCAGGCTCGACCCCCAGTAAGGGACAAGCAGGAGGCAGCAAACGGATGTTTCTGTCTTCTCTCTTATCCATGTTTCTATCTGTCTCCTTTCTCTCTCCCCTTCCTCTCTTGCTAACAATCAATAAAAACATATTTTTTTGAAAAAAAGAACAATAATAAAAAACCCCCATTAAGTTCTGTGAGTAGTAAATATCCATCTATCACTTTAACCACCCCCTCTCCTATCCCCATTTCTAGGCTGGCCAGGTAATATTTGGGTGTTTTTTACTTATTACTCAGCTTTTCCCTTTGCTTACAGTTTGTCTATATTTTTACTCAGTCATAACTATCCTTGTTCCCATTTTATCGCATGGAAAAAGAGGGCAGCCTTGGATCCTGGTGAGACACTATTCGACCTTGACATGTCTACCCCTTGTTTCTTCTTTCTCCCTTCTCGTTTTCCATGGCCCACAATCTCCCTCCTGTCTCCTACTGCACCCCTGCCCCCTGGATGGACTCTCTCTAGCCTTCGTCCACTCATGGCTTGTGGTAAGAAACAGGGCACTGGAGTTCAACAGACCCGGTTGAATTTGACCCCTTACCCCTCTAATTACTTCAAGGATGGTGGATATTATTTGTTTAAGGTCTAAACCTGTGTGTCCAGTGTCCTCCGCTATGTGCAGGGCCAGAAGGAATATACCCAGTGATGTATATAAAGTGTCTGGCACACGCTTAGAAAAGATATTGCCTCTATTCTTAACTGTAGCTATGCCAATATTGTTATCTGTAAAAATTTTATTTAGTCCTGCTAGCAGCTCCCAACACTAAAGAACCTAGTTCTATTTAGAGGTTCTAGAGGGATTCTATTTTAGCTAGGAAGTTGAATCTACAGTGGGCAGTGTTAATTTTTTTACAATGTCTCCACCTCTGTCATAAGAATCTTACAGGAGTCTTACTGCCTCTCTTTTTCCCTGTAATTCATTTTATTTTTATTTTTATTTTATTATTACTTTTTAAAATATATCTTTATTGATTTCAGAGAGAGGAAGGGATAGGGAGAGAGAGAGATAGAAACATCAATGATGAGTCATTGATCGGCTGCAGCCCGCAACCCGGGCATGTGCCCTGACCAGGAATCGAACCCCGATCCCCTGGATCCTAGGTTGACACTCAACCGCTGAGCCATGCCCGGCTGGGCCCTGTAATTCATTTTACTAACTGGCCATTAAATTACTCTTTTTTATTTTTTATTTTTATTTTTATTTATTTATTTTTTAAATATATCTTTATTGATTTCAGAGAGAGGAAAGGAGAGGGAGAGAGAGAGATAAAACATCAATGATGAGAGAGCCATTGATTGAGCCCACAACCCGGGCATGTGCCCTGACAGGGAATCGAACCCCGATCGCCTGGATCCTAGGTCGACACTCAACTGCTGAGCCACGCCCGGCCGGGCTAGATTACTCTTTTTTAAAACACCGCCTTGATTACATACCTCGTCTGGCATCAAAACCTTTGAGTTGTTGATGCATGTTCAAATCTCTCCACAGTCTGGACTGTCCCATTTCCCCAACCTCCTCTCCCACCCCCACCCCCCGTTCAATGAATCCTGCCTCCAGTTCAGCTACTCTGCTCCCTACTTACAGTGTCTGCTTCGCCTTGGCTCATGTCATTTTCCCTGTGTGAAGGACATTTTCCTCTTTCCCCATTTTATCTTCCCTTCAAAGCCAAGTTTAAAAATCCCTTCCCTTCCATGAAGTCTTCCCAGATGTTCCAGTTCTGGGTTCTCTCTGTCTCCTCTCAAAACAGCAACAGTGTCATCCTTCAGGCCTTGGATATCAATGACTTTGGTCAGCAAGCAGCAGTGTCAGCATATCAGCCAACACCATTTACTGAGCACCTGCCATGTGCTAGGCACTGTGTTTCATACAAGTTTTAGAATCATCAACCTAAATCAAGTCCCACCTCTGCTTACTAGTTATGTGACTTGGGCATGTTTCATAATCTCTCTGAGCATCAGTTTATCCATCTGTAACACAAGGACATAATAACTACCTCAGAAGGTTGTCTGCAACTGAGCTGACATAATCCATGCAGAGCACTTCGAACAAAGCCAGGCATCTTAGTAAGAGCACTACAGCTGTTCCTAAAGTTACTAATCAATGTGTATAGTTATTAATCAATTAGTCCTATCAAGCTCCTCAAGGGCAGAGGCTATGTTCTGTTTCATTGTGTTCCCAGCAATCTGCACAGTGCTCTGAGTTTAACCAACACACAAAATATTTATCTGTTGATTATAATAAACTGTTGCCATTACTAGAATCAATAAACCTGCTCCAAAAAGCCCTAAATTAATACACAAAAATCAGACTTATACACATCATTCTGGAACCAAAAACCATAAGTAAATAATCAAATTACTTATACAAGAAAAACATTTAAGGGCCACAGTAATACACAGACACCTAATTACTTGCAAGAAATGCAATGCTCAAATTCTAGCAATTAAAAGGCAAGACTGAAAACTAGAATGACTCCCTGCCAGACATGGTCTGGCTGGCTTTGCTGGATATGCCCATAAACTACGCTTTCATCTCCTCACCTGTAATTTCCGCAAGAAGCAGAGATGAGTCAGTGTGTATTGTTCCAAAGTAACAAGCTGTGGTTGTTCCATTCTTCAGCGTTCTCCTCTAAAAATACACCACAAAAACCATGAGTCACGTGTGCCAAGAAGGTCACATGGCATATACAGATGAAAATAGAATTCTCATTTCCAATTTTAAAATGTTTTAATTTAAAGGTATGCCATCTCAATACGAAATACAGTTCAGGTAAATGGCAAAAATACTGATATTCTAAAAGTGTGAACTGGAGAAGTTGGTACTTTTGATTCCCTAGATTCACACAGTTGTGTGTTGCAGAATTCATAAAATGTGATGCTCATTAATTCCTTATCTTTTAGGGTTGTGTAAAGATATGCACACTTTACTGCATTTGGGAGTGAATAAAGGAGATTTTTCTATCTATTATAGGGTAAAATAATTCAACCAGACTTCTAGTTCAACTTGGCAGATTGATCACATATATCTCTCTCTCTGTCTTCCTTAGCAAATTTCCACTAAAATAACAGTAAAAGAGTGCAAAATTTATTCACTAGCAAGAAGAACATAAGAAGAGGCAGGCACAGAAGAAACATTTCAACATCTTCTTGGAAGACAAAAAATATGGATGAGAACCTGAAAGCAACTTAGGAAGAGAGAGAAGCAAGTGGTTGTTAATAGGGAATTGGCTCCAAGTCTGTCTACAGATGAAGCCCAGGCAGGACCCTTCTGCTCCCTGTTGAAAGCAGCCAACCACCCCTAACCTGTTCCTTGAAGGAGACATTTACTCTTTGTAGAAACTGGGTAGTGTTTAGAGGATACAAGCCTCAAAGGACAAGGTGAGGCTAGACTGCAAAAAAGAGATTTAAGAGAAAACCTGGCTCACCTCCAGGGCCCTTTGGTCAGCTTGCCCAGAGTGCCATCTGTATTACCACCACCACTCCTGGCAGGATTGAAGGTCTCTTCCCTAGAGAAGATGAGTGGCTCTACAAGAAAGATGCCCTCACAATGATGTGTGGGACCCATGTTTGAAAAGGCTGTTCACTACTTTCACTGTTTATCCTATGCTGAAGTTCACTAGCCAACAAGAGCTGCACCGCTCCCGCCCCCCCCCGCCCCCAGACCTTCCAATCACATCTTAGGGCATCACCCTTAAATGTGAATGTACGTTCAAAGTTCAACAGACACTGGAGGAGAGCTGCTATGAAAAGGAGAAGGGGGAAGAAAAGTCTAGAAAAAATATTGGAGGAGCCCTAGCCGGTGTGGCTTGGCTCAGTTGGTTGAGCACCCTCCCATGCACCGAGAGGTAGCTGCTTTGATTCCCGGTCAGGGCACATGCCTGGGTTTCGGGCTCAATCCTCAGTAGGGAGAATGCAGGACACAGCTGATTGATGTTTCTCTCTCCCTTTCTCTCTCTCTCTCAAGTGAATAAAACCATATTTAAATATATATATTGGAGGAAATAGGGTCAGAAAGAAGCGTGATTTAAAAAACAACTATTGTTAACATTCTCAAAGAATTAAAGAAGATATCACTTCTATAAGACAAGCACAGAATGCTATGAAAATCAAAGAACAGGAGCTCTCCAAAAGTAAAACTTTTATAAGTGAAATTTGGAAGACAATAGAAGGGTTGTAGGATAAATTAAAAGAGAATCATTCAGGTGAATAACATACTGTGAACTTAAATAATAAGGAAGGACATACCCTATATCTCAGACAGCAGTCTCTACTCTGCATCAGCCAACTGTTGAAAAACGCAGATGAGAGCCCAGTGATGTCAGTTAGTCCCAAAGGCCAAGGGAATTTGAAAAACTGGATTTTTTTTTGTCAATCTTTTCAAATTTTAAGACACTTTGCATATGAAATAAAATACATCTGGCTGCTAATAGAGGATGATTACAGCCCGTCAGCTGAAGACAAGGATGAGCTCTCTATCAGAATCACAAGTCCAGGAGGAAAGGTAATACCATGGCAGAGAGACACCTAATTCAATCTCTAGCAACTCCAAAGGTGTCCGGATCCTGGTGCACTCAGTAAACATTTACTGAATGAACACCTGAGGAAGCTGAATTACTAAGCAACAAGAGACATAAAATGAACTAAAATCAGTATTCTTAGATAAAGAAAATATGACATGATGTCCTTGAAAGAGGACAGGCTATTATAACAGTAGAGTGAATGAATGACTTGCAAAATTGGACCATTGGCGTTCTTTAACAATGTAATACAAAGGTATACACAGGAGTTACAACATTTTTCTAGTAGGAGTTACCGAAACAAAGAACAGATTGAAGGGAAGGATATACTCAGAGAGAAAGAAAGAGAAATACATTTCCCAAATTGGAAGATAGGAGTTCTCTTATTGAATGAACTACATATCAAAGATAAAAAGTTGAAAAAAATCTGTAAGTGAAATTTCAGAACATCCTGAAAGACAGCAAATTAGCCAGAATGGAATGAGAATCAGATTGACATCAGCACATTGGATGCTGATGGGCAAATCATTCCAAATAGAATTATCTCTACAGTGAAAGTGCATCATTCAAGAGTCAGAACAAAGTAAAACCATTTTTGGTAATTCAATGATTTGGAATGTTTATCACCCACTTTATTGAGAAAGGATTTCAAGAAAATTTAAAAAATGAATCCAAAAGAAAGACAGGGGATCCAAATAGCAAAAGGAAAAAATAAAGCTCATTGTTAAATTAAGTGCAGATGTTGAAAAATAATAAACTGGAATTAAATTAAAAGAAAATTAATATTAAATTTAAAAGTTAAAGCTTATTTTAAATATAGTGTAGATGGTAAAAAAATAATAAACTGGAACTAAAATCTCAGGTAAGAACATGGTGAAAGGGGTCATAACACAAAGAAAGGAAGGTTATGTAAGATTCTAGTGTTGTTATATGAGAGAATAGAGAGGAAAATGCTAGAAGGCTTGCTTAACGCTTTTAACAACTTAGTCTAATAGAGATGTAAAAAATGTCATGTTGACAGAGAAAACACAATCTTTAAAAAAAAAAGTGTAGATAACCATAAAAATTGACCTTTTGTTAGGTCTTAAAATAACAGTTAATTAATTCCCAAGAAAAATAATCATACAAATTACATTCACTTACCAGAGTAAAATAAAACTCAAAGTTAAAACAGAAATATAATCAAACATTTTCTAAATTCACAAAATTTTAAACACCTTTCTAAAATCTGGGCCTGAAGATGAAATCAAAATGAAAAATTTCAGCTATTTAGCAATGAGGACAATGGAAATGCTATCCATAGATGTAAAAAAATCTATCGTGCAAAACTCTGTGGTCTTGATGGCCCATTTATTGAAGTATAGATGTAGAACCATTTTCTGAGGGAGAAAATTAAAAAAACAAAAATATCTCGATTTTATTCATGGTTACTGCCTCAGCACCCCTATGCATTGCCATGGGCAGTCTTCACCCTAAGGACAGGATCTAATTAACAAATCTTAACTTTCTTTTTTAAAAAAAATTATCTTTATTGTTGAAAGTATTACAGATGTCCCCTTTTCACCCCACTGACCCCTTCTACCCCGCACCCACCCCCCACCCAAGGCCTTCACCACACTATTATCTGTGTCCAAGGGTTATGCATATAAGTTCTTTGGGAAATCTCTCCCCCACCCCCCACCCATCCTCACCTTCCCTCTGAGATTCCTCCATCTGTTCCATGCTTCAACGTCATTAAATCTATTTTGTTCATAAGTTTATTATGTTCTTTAGATTCCACATATAAGTGAGATCATGTGATATTTTTCTTTCTTTGCCTGGCTTATTTCACTTAACTTAATATTCTCTAGTTCCATCCATGCTGTCCCAAAGGGTACGAGATCCTTCTTATAGTATGTGGACTGCTCATAATCAGAAACATTGGGTGTGTGAACTGCAAATACTTGTTGAGAATAACAACTATTTTGTACTCGCTGACATTAAATTCTTACTCAAATCTCTGAATTAATAAATAAAATTTAAGGAGTACGGCCTGAAGGATACATAGTTCTAGATACTCTCTCTAAACAAAAACTGACATATCTGGACTTTTTGATACTATAGCACCTAGATAGAATATATTTTGATGACATAGCATGTAACTACATTGGAATATTGGGAATAATATTCTTACATTTCAGTATGAGAAATAGATGTGCTTTACCTTAACAAATGTTCCTTTTTAATCATACCGACAGTGTAAAATTGAAAACTGACTTTCCTCTCTGGGTCAGCTGCTAGATACTTAAAGTCAAATTTATGACAAACTCTAACAAATGTGTGGACTCCCATGGGATACATTTACCTCTTGGTTTCATTTTATTTTTCCTCTCCCTTTTTCCTTTGCTATGATTTTGTGACTCATTTTCTTCTGTTGGATACTATTCAATTTTAAGAAATCTCAAGCCCTTTTTAAAACAATTCAAGGTATAAATAAAATTTGAAAATAAAAAGATCTAGTGTAGTTAACACAATTCATTCACAGCCCTAGCCCTTCTCAGTTTTTCTGGTGTCATGTGGATGCATGCTAAATATGTAAGATCCACAATTGCACTGCATTTATAATTGAGGCAAGTGTATACATGATAGCACTTGTTTTTATCCTTCAAGGCTTGAATAATGCAAAACCAGGAAACTGGCAAGATAACTGGTCACTATAATGCTTATAATATTGTCGCCATCACATAACCATCATCTTAGGAGAAAATCCATCAATGAGTCCAACAAAAATGCAGCAATATTTATACTAAGTGTACTGAATAATAAGAGGCAGTGGTCAGGTAAGAAGGTATTTGTAGCTTAAATTCTCAACTGCAGAAGCTGTTTCTGGCTGCTAAGTGGAGTGGGTATAGGGTTGGGGTGGAAAGATGGGAAATGATTTTCTTGAGAGAGTGAAAGGAAGGACATTTTCCCAGCTTTCAACATAAAGTTGGCACACACTACAGACACTGTTCAATGACTGAACTAGCCCCATAGTTCCCTCTAGTGGTATTGACTCTTGTCACACCCCTAAATGCCCTATAAAGGGACCATCCTATTTTCTCTCCTTGTGAAGCTACCAAAATAGTGTGACAGTCTTCTAATTGTAATTTTAATTTTTAATTTCCTTGGGTATTTTTTAAAGCAAACAGAGCACTTACCATATGTCAGGCACTATTTTAAGAGCCTCACAGGTATTAGCTTGCTAAATTATAACAATCCAGTGAAATAGGTACTATCGTTATCTCTATTTTCTTTATGGATGAAGAAGATGAATTGAAGAACTTTTCAAAGGTTGCACAGCTATTCCATATGGTCTCCAGAACAGCACTGTGGATTAGCAGGAGTAAGGGAACACACATATACATTAAACCTAAATTTAGTAAAGTAAAACACAAAAAGCAAAAGACAGAGTCATGAGATCCCACCTGATTGGGGATCTGGGAGTTTGAACTCAAGTCCTCTCTTTGCTAGTGACCAGTTGTGTAGGTCAGGTGGTCCCAAACTCACTGGGCTGTGGAAGACTGAAAAAATCTCTATAGCTCATTCTAGCCTTAACTGCCTGTGTTTTATGCTTAAAATAAGCTCCAAGAAATTGATGTTTCTACATGTGACCAAACACATACACTAATACTCACAAGCAGGATACTTACGACAACTTTGGTATACACTTCTTCAGCAAAGTCGATGCTCTGGAAGTTGAGTTCTGTAGGAAATGTGTACTCAGTCAGCCACTCCAGAAGCGGTAGGTCCACCTTACTCCCAGCAAAATAATACTGAGGAGCATGGATGTGTGTATCAACCAGCCCGGGCATGAAGAACTCACTGGAAATTAAGATGAGAGAAAAACAATTTCATACCATTCCTAGTCGTTTTCCATACCTTTAGCAATGGTTTCTCTTAGCAATGGTTGAATTGTTTACCCCACATAGGTTTAGAGCTGATGCAATCAGACAACTAAATTCTCCTATTCTTTAGAGATCAAGATATAAAAATGAAGCTCTGCTAGGAGAGATATGGCTCCTAAGTTGGAATGACTGGTGTGAGGGTAATCACAAATGATGGAGGGAGAGAAAAATCACAGCACTGGGCAGGAACAAAGCAGTTGTGGCACAAGAAAAGCGTAAAGTTATGCTTTCATTCTATGAGTCTGCTCTCACATTGGGGGTTGTAAGACAGGGAAAAAAGGAGAGAGGAGGTATTCAAACCTTCTAGGGCCACGCTGAGGAATTAGATACAAGTCACTCAGGATGACCGCAGATGAGGACTGAAGCTATGACTGCATTGCCAGCCATTCTCTAGCTGTTTCTGACCACGCCTGCTCTTACCCTAGTCCACCAACTAATTTTCGCATTTCTATGAACACTTATAAAAAAAGTCTTGGAAAGATGTTTTTAAAAGTTTTTGGAGGCCCAGCTGGTGTGGCTCAGTGGTTGAGCCTCGACCTATGAACCAGGAGGTCACTGTTCAAGGTTCGATTCCTCGTCAGGGCACATGCTGGGGTTGTGGGTTCAGTCCCCAGTAGGGGAGGTGCCAGAGACAGCCAATAAATGACTCTCTCTCATCATTGATGTTTCTATCTCTCTCCCCTTCTCCTTTCCTCTCTCTGAAATCAATAAAAACATACATGTTTTTAAAAAGATAATACTTTTTAAAAAAAATTTCAGAGGCACTACTCATAGAATTGAGGCAGCCCAATGCTAACAGATACTTAAAACTTTTCTAAAGAAGCATTTCTGTTCACTGGTATTTATTAAGTGTCTAATGTCATCCAAACAGATATTTGTTAAAAGATACTATCCACCACCACCACCACCATCACCTCAAATAAATATTATATTTTTATATATATAAGGGACTTGAACTCAAAACAGGACCAAACAAAAAATCCCTTACACTACCAATTCAGATGTATACTACCTCAGTGGAAAACAAACAAAACATGAGTATCTATAAGTGCTTATTTTTTTAAATGATAACTGTAAATGGTGGCAATAATGATAATGACGATGGTGACAGCAGGCAATGTTAACCAAAGATATACATAGACTGAACACTGGGCACAGGGTTCTATGGGCATCACCGTATTTGCTGATTATAGGGTTTTAGTATATATATTCTTGACTTAGACCGCATGATTATGAATTCATGCCCCACCATAAACCAGCATTGGGATATTCAGCATGTCATTTAATATCTCTGTGGCTCAGTTTCTCCTTATGTAAGATGGAGTAGTAGTAGAATCACATGGCTTTTATGAGGATCGAATTAGCATGCATAAAAACATTACTTAGGTGATGGAAAACACTGAAAAAATGTTACTTGTGATGGTGATGTAATGCTCACAACAAACTATGAAGTAATATTGTCATTCTCATTTACCTAAGAGTAAGCTGCAGCTCAGGAAATTTAAGTAGCTTGAAAAAAGTAAATGTTCAACTAGTCAGCTCTGCAACTTGGATTCAAACCTTGGCCATTTGTCAGTAGACTCAGTACTCTTGCTCATTACCTTCCACTTGACAAGACTTCTAATTCACTTTAGAAATGAAGAGTAGTGACAACCTGTAAGCATGGCAAGAAGGTGTGTGTAGTGGGCCTACCGTGTATGGGGATTGCAGAGACAAAGGATGAAATATGGATCCCTCTTAGCTCTAGTCACTGACCTCTCCTCCCCAGGATACTTCAGTCCTTGCGTCTTCTATTGTCTCTACCGCCATAAAATGGAACAGCAGTGTGACTTCTGCATGTAGTTGAATTGTTCAAACAAATATTATTTCCCGGGTCTCTAATGTGTTTAAGAAACCCTGCTAAGCTTTGTGGGGAGTACAAAGAGAAATAAGGCATCTTCTTGTCCTCAAAGAGATTATAATCTAGTTGAGGAGATTAAGGATGAGTGAGGGTGTGTGTGTGTGTGTGTGTGTGTGTGTGTGTGTGTGTGTGTGAGAAGAGAGAAAGAGAGAGAGCGAGAGAGAGAGAGGGAGAGAGAGAGAAATACAGGGTAAAAAAAGATAGATATCTGGTCAAAACATAAGTGAGCAAATTTTTTCATGTAATTCATTTCTAGTTTCATACCAGTGTGGTTGGAGAAGATGGTTGATATGACTTCAATCTTCTTGAATTTATTCAGACTTGTTTTATGTCCTAACATGTGGTCTATCCTAGAGAATGTTCCATGTGCACTTGAAATATACTCTGCTCATTTAGGGTGAAATGCTCTGTAAATATCAATTAAATCCATCTGATCTAGTATGTTGTTTAAGGCCGCTGTTTGCTTGTTGTTGTTTGTTTGTTTGTTTTGCCTGGAACGTCTATCCATTGTTGTCATTGTGGTGTTAAAAACCTCTCCTGTGACTGTATTACTGTAGATCTCTCCCTTTACGCCCAAGATTTTCTTAATATATTTAGGTGGTCCTATCATTGGCCGCCTAGATGATCACGAGGATTATACCCTCTTGTTGGATTGATCCCTTTAGCATTATGTAATGTCCTTCTTTGCCTCTTGTTATAGCCTTCGTTTTGAAGTCTATTTTGTCTGATATAAGTACTCCAGCTTTTTTTGGTTTCCATTTGCATGAAATATCTTCTTCCATCCCTTTACTTTCAGTCTGCGTGTATCTTTTGTTCTGAGGTGGGTCTCTTGTAGACAGCATATATATGGGTCTCATTTTCTTATCCATTCAGCTACCTTGTGCCTTTTGGTGCATTTAATCCATTTACATTTAAAATAAGTATTGATAGGTACTTATTTATTCCCACTTTTTTCTTTATACCCCGAAGTCCACCTCCACCTGTCCACAGCTCCTCCACCCCCTGAGGTTGCCTGGTTTTCCTTGAGATGCCTCCGTAGAAAAACTGTAGAGTGGGCCCAAGCTGCCACAACACACAGACCCTTTCCACAGGACACAAGCTCCAGGGAGACCAAGGTCCAGAGGACAGGGTTAGTCAGTCTCCTGCTTGGGGGCAGCGTGGTCAGGTATGCAATGGCAGGGGGTACTCCAGAGCCACACCACTCAGTCTCTGCCCAAGTCTCTGACTCTAGCTCTCCCAGAAGGAGTGCCCTGAGGTTCAGGCTGGGCACAGTCAGCTGACTCCTCATCAGGAGCAAGCTCAGCACAGCAGGTCCTCTGGGCGTCAGAAGGACAGGTCAGTGAGTCTCTGGTTGAGGGAGTGCCTCAGGCTGAGCTCACAGGTGGGGTAAGAATGGCCCTAGGAGCACAACCCAGCACTCCTCTGAGTCTAAGACAAGTGTTTCCCAGGGAGACACACTCCAAAGATCCTAACTGTGCAGCACTCAATTCCCCAGCAACTGAGCTCAGCAGGGCAGGGCCCCTGGTTGTGGGAAGGACATGTCCAATTAGTCTCCCATTGGGGGGATGGTGAGGGCTGAGCTGGGGTGGGTAAAAATAACACCCTCCTCATCCCATCTCCACCCCTGCAGCTATAGCCACATGACCCAGCATTCCCTCCCTTTTAAGGAGTAGGTCTGAGGAAGAGACAGTCATGCCCGATCTAGGCAGAGTCATTGTCAGGTAGGTAGAGGGACACCCAGAATAGAGTTGTCAAGGACAGACAGCAATGAAGGGAAGGAGTACAGGACAGTGACTAGTGTCAGAAATGGCAACAGTCAAGGATGTGCAGCCTCAAGAAAGACTCTGGGAGCTCTCATTTCTAAACAACGATTAGGAGACACCGATTTCACATGGACTCAGTCCTCTATCATGTAAGTACTCACCAAGTCTCTAGAATAGTTTAGTTACTACCCTAGGTGCTGAGGAGGGAGCCATGGCCATGAAGGACAGGTGTTAGAGAAACTACTGGACAAATGGAGAGCTCGCTTTGAAAATATTTGATAGTGAATGTTGGAATGGTAATGTAGGGGAGGAGAGAGAAAGTCACATTTTGTTTACCATGTAGGAGAAGCCCAAGCACGTTCTGAAGGTAGCGGAGATAAAAGAAGTAAAGGAGGTAATCCAGCGTGCAAAGTCTTCAGGGGCAACGGAACACCAGGGATTCACTGCCTCAGAAATGTGACTTTCACCCAGAAAAGCTAACAACCCGTTGTAGGAAACAAGGAGCATTGTGGAAGGCTTATTAATAGAAACATTCACATAATCAAGGTATAGTTGGGGACTTATGTTACAGATATTGGAGGGTGCTCGAGTGCGGACTGTCAGAGCTGAGTGTGCGATGAGAGGTCACCGAGCCCAGAGGGAAGCTCAGAGATGCCAAGGTCGTTTTCAGACGCGCACTTCCTTCGTGGCTGGTCCAGCCAGGATCAGAACTCAGTTCTCCACCCCAGGCCTCACTTACGACTAAAGCATAGCCATCAAGCTGCAGGCAAAGCAGAGATGGGGCTTAGGCAGAGAAGCAGAAAAGGTGAAAAGCTCCCCTTTCTTCTCCTTTCTGCTTTCCTCTTTTCACTTCACTTAATCACTATCATAATTCCCTTAGAAAATCTCGGCTTCCACCCGAAAAAACCATCAACTTCATGTTCCAAACCTGCAGCGCAGGCCAGGCTGTATCAGAACCTGAGGAGAAAGAACAATGTGTTTCCTACATACACTTACTGAAGCATCCCGACCTCTAACGAAGCAGAAAACCTTGATAAAAGCTTTAGAATCAAAACGTATGACTGTCTGCAAAGGCCTGAGCTACCCAATCTGTTTGAACACCATTGTCAACCTGCTCTGGGAGCCCAGGGCTGTTTGAAAACCACTCTTTTCTTGCACACAAAAATTTAAGGATATGAAACAAACAACAACATCTTTATTTAAAATTTTGGCATTTTGTTCATCACAGATATTTTTTGCATTAATTTCGCTTTTTAAAAAATATTGCATTAAACTGTTATTTATCTTGATTCCTAAGTTTTTTTGCCCATAAATTCTGTGCCCAAGGTAAATGCCCCACTCGTCTCACCCTAACCTTGGCCCTGCCAACCTCTCTGCGGTCTGTGGCCATAATCTGAACCACTCCTAACAAAGCACTGCTCAAAGTTGTAATTTTCATATTTTTAAAATACACATCGTGCTGAGATAGACCTGTAGATACATGGAATCTATGAAACAGACAGTCAGACACATCATCTTCTATGGTATTTTAATCCTGACTTAAAGAAATTCAAACACACATATCTTACGTGTTTGATCTACAAATTACCGTGCATTTTAAATAGGATTTTTCTTCAAAGACTTCAGTCTTCCACCAAAGTTTAAATTTTTTCTTACTTTACCTCTTTTGGTGTTTTGTGCTTACAGGTCCCTTTGCATCTGCATTTGTTTGATGAATTTCATTCCAAAAGCAGCCTCATAAAGAGGGACAAAAAATGTGAAGACCCACAAACGTGTTCACCCATCTCCTCATCTGCCAATCACTTCGCCATCCTCTCCCTCCCTCCCAGCCCCCATCTCAGCCACTCCCAAGCTTTCTTTTAATCTCTCATTACCAAGGCACACAGGCACGTGACCAGAAATGTCCTTTGTTCCTCAACATATATTCTCATGAAAATTTAGCAACAGGGAGCAGACGGTAACAGCAGAAGTCACTGTAATGATCTTTCTGCCCTGGATTCATCTCTATGCCCATTGCCTGCAAGCTTCAAAGCCCACAGAGAGGCAGCAGAGAGAGGGAAGGAGGCAGGAGAGACAAAATAAATGCAAGTGCAGCAAAACTTTATGACCAGTCACCTCCGTCTCTCTGGACGGCGGCCAGGCCCTCTGCCTCAAAGCCTTGAGGGTAACCCAATTCACAGATCTGTGGCAGGGGACAGTGTCACCTAGACAATCCTTTTGCTAACAGCCTAGGACACGAGCTCAGAGAAGGAAAGTGGCCTGCATTACATTTAGCAGCCACGAAGCCGCAGCATTAGGATTCACACCAGGTGTTCTAATTCCTACTTCACTGTTCTCATTACATTACTCTCAAGTCACTCCCCAGGTTATAAAGATGTTTTTAGAATGAAAATGATTTTGACTGACTTTGGAACTCTCACTGACTTTGGAAATACACTTGGCCTGAAACAAGATAAAATCTTTGAGTTAAAAAAAAAAAAAGTATCTCTATTTCTATGAAATAAATCAAGTAGGCTACAAAGAACGTGGGCCAATCACAAGAAACACATTTTGAACAAATTATTAAAAACTCCTAAAAGAAGTTGGAACATAAAATCTCAGCTCAAATGCACTTTTGGAGATAGGTCTTACCTAACCATGATGTCAGAGTTATCGCTCCCCAAGCCTCCCTCCCAGCCTCCCGACAAGCATCTCTATCCTGCTCTTTCTTTCCTTCCTTTACAGGTTCACAGCTATCACTGTCATACTCACATACCTGCGCCCTTGTGAACCCTCTGTATTCCCCAGGGCCTGCCAGGGGCTGTAACCCTGGGAGAGCAAAGGCTTCGTAGAGCATTCTCACCTCGGGATCCCAGTTCCTACATGTACTAAGCTCCACAAATGTTTGGTGAAGAATCAAATAAATGATGGCAGCCTCTAGGACTCAAAGTTTCCATCCCTCAGCAACTTGTTCTCTACTCACTTCCTCCTTGTACCTCACACCTTAAGAAAGAAAAAGAGCCCCTCTGTCTCTCAAGGCAGGTTTCTTATCATTTAAGACTAGTCAATGGACTCCACAAAAGGGAAGAAGCTGGCTGTTACTTACTGGTGGCTCAGTTCTCTTATCTCACACGGCTTGAAGCACCATTCTTTGGCCAGCTTTTCTTGTTGAGATGCTTCTTCTAGAAACACTATCTTTAAAAGAAAGAAAGAAAAGAATCATAAATTAATGAAACATCATTTGTTGCTACTCAATATCTAGATCTTTTAAAAAGAGACTATACTGTAGCTGAGTTAATTTTAAAAGGTAGCTGATAACAAACAGGCTTGAGTCTAGAGGCCAAAAAGGCAGGTGTTTGCCTTTGGTTGCCCAAAGAAGTAAATTGAATGATATTTCTCCCTTTCTGCTGTTCTATAGATATAAGCAAGGCTTCAGAAATTCTAATTTGGAGACAGTATTAAAAAGGGCTTGATTTTTTTTCTTTCCCACTCCTGAAAATGATTAAAGGAAACCATTGTTTATAGAAAGTATGCCGCACTACAGATGACTAAAAGATTTTTGTTAGGCTATTATAGGAGACTCAAGTCCAGGGTACCGTAGTAGTGTATCACGGGGCAACTTCTTAATATGGAATATAGCTGCTCATAATTGCCTGACAACTGAGTCTTGGCATGAACCATGTTGATGTTTTGATACTAGACGTCTGCTACATTCCTCTAGTACAGTGTATGGAACACGAACAGAGTGATCTCTCGTGTTAGACTTGTGAGGTCTGAAACCCATGGGCCATAGCTGGGAACCTCAATGGGTCTCTTATTCTTTTTTGGTCTGTTTTTTCCCATCAGTGGGTAACACCAGAACATACTTCTCAAGCCTATTGTGAGTCCTAAATAGAATCATTTGAGTAAAGACGATAGCACATCCTTGGAATATGTTAAATCCTAGATACATTATATCTATTGTTGATCATTTTTAAAGTGTAGTGTGATTGCTTTCTCTATCAAAAAAGATTGCAAAACAAGAAAGGACAAAGAAGAATAAAATATATATGCAGCTTTCAAGTGCATCTATCATCTCTTTTTGTTCTCCTGTACCAACCTTTCTCATGTTCAAATCTGTTGACACCTGCCTCACACACTTTCTCTAACATCCCAAGCCTTGTAATACCAACCTGGACAACCCTGTTGACACCAGGGCCAGCTAGTTCCATGAACTCATCTTCAGTGATTGGTTTGTGAACATATGAAGTTCATGAACTTCATACTATAACTGCTCTACCTCCCAAATCACACATCTGACCACAATTTCTTCTTTTACCTGTTTGTCATTCCAAATACTTCAAACAATCTTCTACCTTAAAAAGCCCTCCCTTTACCTTCCCCCCTCCACTTTTCCTCAGTCCATCAGTGGTCTTCTCTTACCATTTTTCCTGGTCCAGCTTAGATTCTACCATGTGTTATTTCATACTGCCTGTGAGTTTTAGTTAACACACATCTGGTAAAGAAAGTTCAGCCCGGCTGGCGTGGCTCAGTGGTTGAGCATCGACCTCTGAGCCAAGAGATTGAGGCTCCGTTCCCGGCCAGGGCACTTGCCCAGGTTGCAGGCTCAATCCCCAGTAGGGGACGTGCAGGAGGCAACCGATCAATGACTCCCTCTCATCGTTGATGTTTCTATCTCTCTCTCTCTCTCTCTCCCTTCCTCTCTCTGAAATCAATAAAAACATATATTTTGTAAAAAGTTCAACCTTAACTGAACGCAACTGTCCCCTTTTCTGGGCTGCATGCAGATGGTAGATGGAATATCCAATCATCGAGCTCAAATGTGCTCCTACCAATGCCGACGCCTGGCTCCCTAAGATATTTCTCTAGCACTGTGGACTTTACTTTCAATAAAATTTACAGGAGACCTAATTGCTTATCTACTGACAGGTTATTAAAAATATTTTTGATGATAGATTAATATACAAATTTTATCAAATAACTCATGAGTTCAAAGAATTGAGCAATATTGCTACTGTATAAGGAACGCCTCCCAGCCCCATCTACTTGATTTATGTGAAAATAATTCTCAGCTCTTACTTCTGTAAAATAAAAAAAATTGATGGTACTGGCATTTCATTCTTTCTACCAAGTAATTCTCATCTATAGAGATATTTATCTAGTAGTAAAAAACAGCCTTTTAATTTCACATTTAACAAATTACCTTTCAACATGTGTAACATATATTTTTTAAATTCCTTATGGTCCTAGGAAATTTTAAAGGTTTAAATTTATGTGCACAAATTTATACTGGTTGATCAATAAAAGATGTTCAAGCCTAAAACTAGATTGCATTAGCACAACTCTGTAAGGAAAGGAGAATATAATTAGTAATTCAAGAAGAAAAAGGGACTGGATAGCTTTTTAGATCATTAAAGAGGAGCTAGCTCATGATTTTTAGAAAATAGGTTAAGGTAGATATCAAATCACTATATTTTCATTCCATCAGATACATTTGAAAAATAATGTCACAGTATCCATCAATAGATGGATAGATAAAGAAGTGGAACATATATGCAATGAAGTATGACTGAGTCATAAAAAAAGAATGAAATCTCGCCATCTGCAACATGAATAGACCTAGAGGGTATTGTGCTGAATGAAATAAGTTAGACAGAGAAAGACAAATCCCAGGTGATTTCACTTATATGTGAAATCTAAAAAACAAAATAAACAAACAAGCAGCCAGGAAACTGATTCACAGATACAGAGGACATTTTGATGGTCCCCAGATGGGAGGGGGGTTGGGGGACTGGGTAAAGAAGGTGAAAGGATTAAGAAGTATAAATTGGTAGTCACAGAATAGTCATGGTGATTTAAAGTAGAGCACAGGGAATATAGTCAATAATATTGTAATAACTAAGTATGGTGGCAGATTGGTACTAGATTTATCGGGGTGATCACTTCATAAGTTATATACACTATATGTCTAATCACTGGGTTGTACACCTGAAACTAATATAATATTGTACATCAACTTTAATTGAATAATAAAAAAAAATTTTTTAAAGTAACATCACAGTTCAATTTTAGCATGCAATATTTACAATTTGCCAGAAATTATGAGCTTTATACATATTTTAATCTAATAAAAATTACACATATCAGCTTTTAAAAGTATGAAAGCATATAAAGCTTTTCAAAATTCTTTTAGGGGCATATTAGTAAAAAAATGTGCAGAGCATTTCTCTAGTCAACTCATATTCTCACCTTCCACCATAAAGATTTCAAATCTGCGCTTTTACCCCCAAAATATACACCAGACATGTGCAATAGTGAAAAGCTGCAAACAACTTCAAATCAGTCATTAAGGGATTGGTTTAAATGCAAATAAACATTGCAGGAATTAAAAGTGACAGTGAAGACATATGCGTACAGAATGGAAAATTACCCTTAATACAATCTTAAGATGTTTTTTAAAATGCAGTTTGCTGGATAACATGTATGGCATGATCACATTTTTTACAAGAATATGGGGTGTGTGTGTGTTGGGGTGTTGGGTCAAAATGTTCACAGTGGTTAATATCTCTAAAATAAAATTTGGGAGTAATTTTTGCTTCTATATTTACACTCATTTAGATTCAAAATTGTTAATAGTAACAAATGTTTTATTTTAAAATGTTAAAGTTAATTTCATTTTCAATGTATATGCAAATGTAAAGTAAAAAATAGAAATACATAATCTCCAATCATAGAGCCTAAGGTTGGGTAGTTAAGACCCACAGAGAGATAATGAATCAGATGGGGAAGGCATGGTGACAGGGTGCAATGGGCGCCACCAGTACCAATGGAGAGACAGTGGGCATGGTCAGTGAAGGTTACAAAGGAAAGGGAGAACTCCAACAATGATTTGACGCATGATGAATACCCAGGGTTGAAGAGAAAGGGGTGGAAGAGGTAAATAATGACAGAAACAGAGGCACAACGTCTAAAAGCTACAAGATGTGTTACAGACATGAGTATACTTTAATAACATTAGAGCACTGGGTTGGGGAAAACTTTAATTCACAAATAAAGTATTTTGTAGATTTTTTTTCCCTGTTCTTATTCATGTAGTCACTCAACAATTACCGCCTGAGGCCTACTATGTGAGAAGCACTCTCCCAAGGACCAGGAACAATAAGTCGATAGATGAATATAAGGTATATTGCATATGTAAGTGAGAACGATGAAAAATAAAGCAAGGTAAATGGATGTAATAAAATGTGGGGTGTGATGTTATCTCTGAGAAATTATTTCGAGCACAGATTTATATGAAGGAAGGGAGTGAACTACTAGGATATTCTAGGAAGAGAGTTCCAGAGAGAGAACAATCAGTACAAAATCCCCCATGTGTGTGTTTAAATTAGCTGCTTGGCATGTTTAAAACATCAGGGACCCAGTGGCGATAGAGTACAAGGACTAGAAGAAAGAGTGGTAAGAAACTGGATGGAGGAGGTAGCTTTGTAGGTCATGGCACAACCTTGAGATTTATTTTTAAGAGCTCCCTAAAAATATTTTGGAAAACAAATATGGCAAAACTACAAAATAATATGGATGTTTTCTTTATGGGGCAAGGGGTCTTTCAACCTGAAGTGACCTGGGTTCATGTGGCCATTCATTCACTCATTCAATCATTCACCATTAAGAGTATCTGCTATGGCCCACGGTCTCCTCTTCACAGGCCATAGTCTAGGTGGGCTGCCAAGCACATACAGCAGTCATTAAAAAACAAATTTCATAAAATCATAGGTGGTGCCAGCTGGCAGGAACCTTTTCATCTGGCCCCCTTGTTTCCCAGATGAGGAAATTGAATCCCTTCTGTTAAGCAATGACTCCAAGCGCTCTCTTACTTGAAACTGGAACTATTTAGGATGAGCAATAACGAGAATGTCAAGAATACTAAAGCCAAAGCAGATGAGTAATGACTACCAGCTAAAAAATAAAATAAAATAAATCTCTGCAAAATAGAGGCTTCACACACCAGATGGCCAGTTTGGGCAAGAGGCTTGTTGCTATGGAACAGAGTAAACTGCTCTTCGGACCATTATAAAATAGCTCGGCCAACAAAATAAGGTAACATATATTGCAACCCATTACACAAAATCCACTCTTAGGCACTGTAACGGGAGATAAAATCTGATAAAAATATGTGATCTCAAGATTTCTGA